AAACGTAAGTATATGCAGAAATAAATATTAAAATCTATCACGTATATTTGTAAGGATGTAAAGCATACTGTTTTGGTTCACGATAATGATAAATATGCATCATGTTACGACAGTTTTAAAAGATCACAAATAACTATACATATGCTAGACTTCTAACAAAAATTTCTGTTACAATATGAATATGCATTTATTATTATATGAGTCGTAAAACGGCCCACCAGCGGCCGAGCGGTAAAGTCGCTGAACACTGGTAGTTCGGTCCGAGGTTCGAATCCCGCGAACGGTCCGGCTACATGGGTGTTTTCGTGGTTTTCCCCATGTGTAACGTGTATACGAGCCAGTTTCCCTTAGAAAGTCCTCGACGAAGGCATCTCCCCTTAGGCAGATAGCCATAGTGTGCCTTGCCATAATTAAATACACCCATACACACATGAGTCGTAAAATTCAGTGTTCGTCATTTTTAGATTCTAGGTATATGACAAAATTTTTTTTTTTTAATTTTCGTTTTGTTTTTAAAAATTAATTCACTTTATAGCTTTTCTTCAATTTATTATAAAGGAATAGGAGTTTAAATTTTGATTTATATATAATATGATATAAATTCATCATTAATAATATTTTATGTATAACAAAAAATTATCATTAATGTTCCAAATTTTAATTTTTTTAATGATTTGTCTTACATTTGTTGTATATTTGTTGAATGCATAGCTAAATATTTCAATTATACACAATAAAGGTTATGCAGAAAACAATTCAGCTGGCATGATAGCTAATTGCGAAAGAAAAATTAGAGTCTTATTGCTCTTAACTCTTAGTACAAGCAGCCATTTTTAAATTGACGTTAAAATAAATTTATTCTATGGTCTATTAGAAAATAACTATACTGAATCATTTATTGACGACTTCTAAGAGGTCGCTTTCTGAAAGAAACCTGTATTTTTGAGAACATAAACATACGTTGATATTGAACATCACTTTTTTAAGATGCCAGAGCAAATGCACAGAGCTCCAAAAATCCTCTAAAAGCATAGACGGTCACGTTTTAAAAGGCTGACTACTTTTAATAAAGCTTGTATATTAATGTTCATTATACATTTCTCACATTTTTACTTTCTTTCAAAACAGCGATGCTGTGGTTCAATGGCTTTAGAACTATGTGAAACTAATAAAATGGGCCGTATGTTATAAAAACCTAATTATATTCAGATACACACGTTTTGAACATGTTTGAAATCTATTATACTAATCAGAATACTTTGTCTACAGAAAACATTGAATCAATATTAGAAATCAAAAGCTAAGTGAGGCCCACCAGCGGCCGAGCGGTTAAGTCGCTGAACACTGGTAGTTCGGTCCGAGGTTCGAGTCCCGCGAACGGGCTGGCTGCATGGGCGTTTTCGTGGTTTTCCCCATGTGTAACGTGTATACGAGCCAGTTTCCCTTAGAAAGTCCTCCACGAAGGCATCCCTCCTCTTAGGCAGATAGCCCTCGAGGCTTTGCCATATTCACACACACACACACAAAAGCTAAGTGAGATTAAAGTAGGAAGAGTCATGTCGTCTAACCCATTTTAATTGAAGTAAACAGGTGCTTACTTTATCGTAAAGTGAACACCTAAGTTTCCAACAATTGAAGAATTTCGCCCCTTTCTGTGTGCCAAATTAAAAACATTAACGTAGCGAATGAAAGAGAAAAAAAGTGAACACCGTTTTTCAAACAGCGAATGAAAAAAAAAAAGCCCACCAGAGCTCGAGCGGTAAAGTTCACTAATAGTTCGGTCCGGGGTTCAATTCCCGGCTAACGGCTAGCTGCACGGGCGTTTTCATTGTTATTCCCGTGTGTAACTTGCATATGAGTCAGTTTCCTTTAAAAAATCCTCCACGAAGGCCTCCCTCCCCGTAGGCAATAGCCCTAGTGTGCTTTGCTGTAACCGAATAAACCGAAACCGAAAAAAAAAAAAAAAGGGGGGAATTGGTGGTGGAAGGCAGCTACGAAACGTCGTTTTAGAAGAATGGGCTACATAACCAAATTTCTATCTATACTCTGGTAAACAGTACATTATTTGCTCATCAAAAGCCTAAATTTAGCTAATGCTCGGCTTAGTTCTTAAATTGCAATTTTAGCCACAGCCCCCAAACAAGACGATGTCTGGTATTTTATTTCATTACTTAGTTATTCATCATTAATTTAAGAATTAATTAAATTTTCATTTGTCTTTAAATTTTTATTGAATTATAATAATAATCATTTAATATTCTAGTTGCTAATTATTTTATTATTGTAATAGCTATTTTATTTTTATTTATTTATTTATTTATTTATTCATCTTTCCTGATGGCCTTCCATAGAGCTCCAGCACTTCTAATTTTAAAAATTAAGTCCTGACTACAACCAATGATTGCGAAAATAAAAGTCAAGTAACTTATTTAGTGATAATTAAATAAAATAAAAGCCAAAGCTTTTATTTTCGCCTTACTTGGCTTTTATTATATATATATATATTGTATGTGTGTGTACTTTACATTTAATTATAAGGACATATATATATGTACTTTACATTTAATTATAATTTATTTGATATATATATACATATTTACGTTTGGTAGTATTACCGATTGCAATAAAAAGGGAGGTGCACATCTAGATGTTATAACGGACCCATATACAAAATTTCAACGTTCTATAACTAACCGTTTTTGAGTTATGCAAAATGCATACATACGTACTTACACATCACGAAAAAAATCCCTTTCAAGTATCAACTTAGAGTCATAATCATTAGTCATAAGTATCAGCTTAGAGTAAATGGGATTACATTTAACAATAAGTTTTTTTTGAAAAAAAAGAGAGAGAGAGAGAGAGTCCTTCATTGTGTTCGTACGTACAGGCGTCAGCCCAAAAAATAATTCACATGGATTCCGTAATCGTCAAAAACGGATATTTCCGTTAAAATATGATACCCAAAAGTTTTCTCGATTACAATAATTACTACCATTTTATTTGATACAAGGAAGTAAAGAACCTATATTAACCTACATATTCTTATATAAACAATACCTAAGTGCAGTATATAAATATTTCAAATCAATAAAATCTGACTATGGCACGCTCAAGGAAAAAAAAAAAAAAAAAAAAAAAAAAAAGAAATCATCTAAATTTTCAAATTACAAACATAAATAGCAATAGTAAAAAGCAAATACAAAATAACGCTTCACGCTATCAAAATTGCTCATTTTCTTAAATATCAACAACTAAATAGTATTTCAACTAAAACACATAATGTAAACAAGAGTTTGCCCGATGCCCAAAAAAATTCAAAATTATCTATGAAAAATATGAGCGCATTGTGACGCAACCGTATCATTCGTATTCGCATAGAAACCGCATCATTCGTATTCGTATAGCAATCGCATCATTCGTACTCGAACAAACCGCATCGTACGACAGATGCGAGTAACGAAATGAATTTGTGAGTACCGAATCGGTACTTCGAGTCAACCGATGTACCCGTTACTCAGTAACGAATACATGCGGTTTGCTCCAGCTCTAGTCTGTAGGGGAAAAGAGATTTTGAGCATGGGGAATTTTAGTCCCGATCAAGGAGGTTAGAATACATGGAGATGCCCTGCCCGCAGTCCAAGTGAAGCCAAAAAGTGGGGGAAAGCATGCCCTTAGTAGTCGTGGCTTTAGAAAGATTGACGAGCTCTTCAGCCAATGAGGCAGAACCTAGCCACACCCAATTTCGTAAATTAAAGACCGTGGATTCTTCGCGCGCTTTTTCCTTCACTTTTTCCCGCCATTTCATTTTATTTCTACATTTTCTATCATCTTGTAGACGGCTGCAATATTGTTCCGAGAAGCAATTTTTATTCCTGCGTCGCTTTCGGCTGTACAAATAGAAGAATAGCAGGATCCGGTATTACATTTCACAGGTAAATATTCTTTTAACATATATACTATCATTTATTTAATTATACTTTGCTCAAAGTTAGATAAAAATTTGCTGTGCATGTTTAAAACATATCCAAGGAAACGGCTGCAAGTGCTGATAATTGTATCAATTCTAATGATTATCAGGATGTGCAGAGGGAAAATATATGTACAAAGGGACTGATTCCATTAAAAATGAGTTTAAATGAGAAATGCATTATGTAATTACATGCTGTCATTAATGAATGCTAGCAATAAAGGTATTGTGAAAATAAATAAATAAATACTCAAACCATTAATTGATTATATTTTAGTTATTCTAAATATATACAGGTATAATTCTCAATTTTCCATGTTAGAAATACTATTTACGTTTTAAAAAATATTAAATTGCATGAACAATGATAAAAAAATAATATTTAAATTCTGCATTGTTATTTTTAAAACTCCCACAAATTTCACCCCAAATTAAATCCTGTTATTAAATATTTACTTGAACAGAAAATAAAATTAAATACATAAAATATGACTTGTAATATAATATGATCACACCTTTAAAATAACGCGTTTTCTTTTCCACGATGAGCTGACCACTCCCCCTTCCCTTGTTTACTTACCGTTCTGCTTTTACAACTCAGTTAATTACGAGTATAATACTCAAACCATTAATTGAAGAAAAATCTGAGAATTATAGATGTTTCTTCGCGCACGTCACACCGAGAAAATACTCAAACTCTTTTCTGACGGCTTTTCAAACGCACATTTCAATTATTCTACTTATTTATGCATGTTAAAAAAACATTCTTTTATATGGAAATGAAATCCGAAATGTAGACATTATTTCAATGTAACCATTATAACCCTCTCACGTCTTCACATAAGAAATCAGAAAACACACTCAAAACTTCAAACAAGCTGACGTTTAACCTCACTTGACATAGTAAGGGAAGCGTTTTCTTGCCCTCACGAGGCGTGGCTTATTTGCTTCCCCCGGCTTCACTATCCTCGTATTGCGACAGCAGAGACGCCATCTCCATGTATTCTAACCTCCTTGGTCCCGATACTTCACATTAAGTGTATGTAATTTGGCAACAATCTTCGTTTCAGAAATAAAAACAATCGAAATGGCTTTCATGCGGTCTCTGTGTCGAAGTTCTAGTCCTGCTTCCAGGCTTAATGTATCTTCTACATTTCGAACAAATAAAGCTGACTACCACGAAAAGGTAAAAGAATTGAATTTATTTGGTGTCTTGATTTTGCAATTTATGTTTCTCTACCATAGCTATTGCACAACCAAATTAACGCAGAACTTTGGTGTTTTATGTCTTATATACTAATAGTTTTTATTTATTTATTTACATCCAGTTAATGTTCGCTTAATCGTATTTCTGCCTATAAATTTTGCAACGAATATCAAATACTTTTTATTGGAATTATGTAATTGATGAAGTATGTACATGTGAATGATAGATCTTAAATGATAATTATATATGATTGAATTGTTTGCTTACTGTGCATTAACAGTTTTGGAAACACTTTCTTTTTTTCGAAGCACAGTTTTCCAAGCTTTCTTTTATGTATAGCCACAGGTATATAAACATGAATTGCACATAAGCACTTGAAGCTTTCCATTACCTCTTCCCGTCATTTTAAAGACTGCGTAGTATCCCAATAAAACTTTCAGTTTTTACTCGAATACTATTGAATCTCCCTCTTAGTCAACGCTCACTTCGAGGCTTATATTTATTGTTTAATGTTGTGGCTAGAAAAGCCGTACCGTATACTAGGATTTTACCCGAATTTATTTTTAATTAATTATTAAAACTGTTCTAGCTAGAATGAAACAATATAAGGGTAAACGTTTACAATTGGGTGCCCCTTATTTTTTGGCGATTCATTTTTGATGCAAAGATCAGCGCCAGGAAGGTACAATTTCAAGATGGCCGCTACACAAAACCAAAATAAGAAGTCAAAGAATTGCACAAACTCTGTATCCATGTACACATCGATCTGTTTTCACTAAAAAAACATCCCAGAATCGCACAAACTACGCATTGCGCACTGCATTAAATTTATCCGTGTACACATCATCAATTTTCATTAAAAAAAATTCAGGAAGCTGAAACAAAATTAAAACTATCATGGTAACCAAAAATGAGGTTTTCATGGCCAAAAATAAAAAAAAAAAAAAAAAAAAAAATTAAAATCTGAAATTGTTCAGATTTTAAATTACGTCCAAAGGGGCGTTTTTTTAACGTTTTGAGTGTTACCTTTATTTATTAAATATCATGTTCTTTGCACTTAAACCATAAAATTCAGTTCAAGAGCAATATCGCAAAATAACGTTAAATTAAGCATATCTTTAGAATTTCCGATATACACAGTCTCGCGAGCTGGAGATAAAAGTATTTTTTTTCTATATAACGTTGCCATTTCTCGCTTTTAAAGCATTGAGTTTGTAAATCAAAAATTCGTTAAAGTTTTACAAAATATAAAATCTATAATAAAACAAATTCGAAATTTGGGATTTCAGATGCCCATATTCGCAGTAGGATTTCGTCATTCAAAATTCGATGGCTCTATGTACCATTGTTTTATCACAATGCGAGAAATAGACAATCATTTATGCAGATTTTTCATTATTTAATTTCTTCAAATATAATGCAGGAATCTAACATTTTGTGGCAACAGTTTGAAAAGTGAACCGACGTTTATGAGTCCGATGCAAAATGCCAAAACGAAAGCAATAGTCCTTCGAGACTGAAATCCCTTTGGACTAAAAAAAAAGTTCCTAATCGAAGGAGTACCCAATTCTACGCTAGAGCCCAATATAAGTGATTAAAAAGGTATATATGTCGGTATACATATTTTAAGGGTGACAGCTGTGTAATAATAACCAGAAGTAATGAAATTTCGCTAAAATGCCATGATATAGTTAAAAAAGTATTGGAATGTCACTGTAAAGCACTATTACCATTCATCTGCAAAATTAATCTGCCAGTTTTAAAGTATTGGTCATTCTAAGTTTGAAATTGGTGTGAAATGTCTTATTGCAATTGGCAATTATTTATCGGGAGATTTGAGTAGCCTCAAATGATATTGGTTATGTTGTGTACTGTTTACTGTACAATAGCTGCTTCAAATAAGAGAATTATGAAAAGAGTGCAGTTTGGTAACTGAATTTAGGTTCGTCAAAATCCAATTCTTTCTTCCATACCTATTAATATGCACACAAGGCATATTAATAGGTATAGATATGCCAACAAAAGGAAACTAGTACAAGTAATTTCCCACTCCAAACTAATATTTTGGAATGTCACTTATTGTTCAAGTCAGATAGGAAAATGCTAACCCCCCCAAATGAAAGTGTGGTTGTAGATACACATGAGAACTACAATAAGTTATACATTATCAATGGCCATGACATCATTAATCTTCTTTCTTAATCATCCCCCCTGGCCTGGTTATTTAGATATTACATTATCCTCGATATTGGATGTCCAGTTTGTACTGTAGTTCAGTTTTCCTTTCTAAGAATCGATTTGCCATGATAGAATCTGGAGGAAATAATGAGAATTTATGCTTGGGAATGCTCTCAGGAATTTACATTTGCATTGCTCATTAGGGTAGAAAAAAAAAAAAAAAAAAAAATTAAAAAACTTTTTTCTTGTCTGAGTCATTTTATGGTTCCAAATTGGCTGGAACTAATTGTGTTCAAATTCCAGCCCCAAATATTGATACCTTGAGGTTTCACACTTCAATATATCAAGCAATACCACACTAACATTTTAAACAGTTTTATGCTTTTTTCATGAATTGCTTTGTTAAATATTCCATTATTAGCACGAGAAGTTGCTTCTCGTGCCAAAATATCGAATTTAATGCCAAAATATGCTACCATGTGCCAGAAGGAGTTCTAATCTGTCTATTGGCTCCATATCAAGGTAAGCAATCACATGGCCTCCTTCATCTTTGAACGACTTTGTATTGTTAATTAGTTGGTTGCTCAGTGTGTTTTGCCAATCCTGTTTTACCAGTCATTGTGTTTCTTGGACTAATATGGCATCAACTAGAAGTGTATTTTTTGAGATCATTGTGGATCATAAACTGCATTGATTTGTATGCTTGTTTCACACCAATGAACTGCCTTTTCGTCATCTTTTCCAAAAGATTGATGTAAATAAATCTGGACCACAACAGTTTTCTGGAACAGTAGGAAAATCCATGAAAACATGTAAAATCCTTTCTGTGACAGGTTATGTTCCTATTCCAATTGATCTATCCGAAATTGACAAAAATATCTCAGTACTGACTAAAAATACCTCCTTGATATTTCTAAGGCAGTATCTTCATGGTTCATGCAAACAGGAGTCCTGGGAAGATGGCTCACTACAGTCAACAGAATTTGTCTTTATCTATCAACCTCTGAACCAACAAATGACTTGAAGCTACTAGCCGAGTATGCTATAAATGTTCATGTGCCATCCTGTTTTGAAATAAAGAAAATCCTGAGAACAACAGAAGAAAAGTTTGTTCTTACGAGAAAATTTTAAGGCAGTCATTCACAAAATTATTCGGAGGAATTGTTATTTTGCTCACTCTGAAAACATCCTGTTGGCGATGCTGGAAGATGAACAAGCACATATTCGTGAACATGGCCTGAGAAGAGTACTCAAAGCAAGAGAAGCTGACTGGAAGATGAAAATACAACAATTTGTGCTTCCCAAATTGAATTTCAAAGCAAAGAAGTATTTTGACATGATTCAATGAGACAATCCTTCAGAACCACCAGCTACTTTGAACCTCAGCAATGAAGACTTAATATTGATTAGAGGCAGTTCTCAGTTTGAAATAGGAAAGCTCACATTCTCAAGTACTGAGACTGGCGACAGAAGTGTCATTGGCAACATGTAATGCAGAAGCCAAGGGTGGTCCATATGCAGATGAATCAAGTCCTGAAACGAACGTAACAAAGTTCCGACACAAAGATGAATTCTTCGGTTCTCTTATGTGGAACCAAAAGATGATGAGTGATTAAGCTGAAACTTTTTACTGGCATTTTTTTAAAAATTAAAACCATATGTTGGGTCAGGAAACAAAAATAAAAAAAAAGCATTAAAAATAGTTTGTTTTTATTAACATTAACATTGCTTTTTATATTTACGTCATGTAGAACCAGAAGATGGCGAGCGATTGAGCTGCAATTTTTTACTGTGTTTTTTTCATCAAACAGAACCATTTGTTGGTTCAGGACATAATAAAATTTGACAATTTTTTTTTTTTTTTCCTTTTTCACTCCACCCTATTGTTCATGTCACTGTCATTTTGCAACCCCTTTATGCTTTTCTTAAAACTCTTTTCTTTATCCTCTCAGATTCCATACTTTATCTTTGGTTTAAATATGCTCTAGTTACCTCTTTTATAACAAACATTCGTTCTGTAACAGGAATGCTAGTCATTAGAGGCTGTAGTAAACTAATGTTGTAGTTTTAGAGTCTAACAATTTTGTAAGAATTTTTTTTTTTTTTTTTTTTTTTTTTTTTTTTGTTACTACTGTCAATTTGCAGCCCACTGTTGTCTTCAAATTTCTTAGAATTCTGACCTATATCTTAAATTCTATACTTTTTCTTTGGAATAAATGTATCGTAGACATTTCTTTTATTCATATGTTCTTTTTCATCTTTTGTCTGATTGAAAATTATCTTAGAAAAATTTAGATCAGCTTTTTTTATCTAAGTTATAAAAGTATCCATCATTGGTAGGTGAAATACACTCTTTTGCAAAAAAAAAAAAAAAAAAAAAAAAAATCGAAGCATCAAGAAGAATTTTTGTGATCATGACAAAATTTGGAATGCAAAAACATCTTGATCGAACATGCAAGTGATCAGTCTCAGGGCAAACGAACAGGAATTGCGATCATAGTGCTCATTTCTAGTGCACAATTCGCAAAGTAACAGAGGCAGTAACAGAGGCAGAACATTTATCTTTTTTTTTTGTTGTCATTACAACGATATGGAAGACCTTACAGACAACTAAACGACTTCGAACGTGGTCGCATTGTAAGGTTGCGTGATGCTGGGTGCAGGCATGAAAGTTTTCCGCGTTTTCGCGGAATTCCGCTTTTTTAAACGTCACCCGGGCTGTTTCTGAGATCGATGCAGAACCATTGAGAAATTGCGACTGCCAAATGTGGGAGGGGGGGTAAACGAAGGACACGCTCTCTCTCTCTCTCTTCCCTTTTTCTTTGTCAAAAAACTTTACATCATGCCAGAGATCGCTAAATACGTTGTTTCACGTCAAGGCAAAGTAGGTAGGGCTTATGTGGAAAGGCAGAACAAATGCGTACGAATATCGAATCAAAGAAGAGCAAGCAACTGTCAAACGAGAGTTGACTTCAATAATTTCAGCAATTCGTGCTGGCGCCATCTGTCGGACATACGGATAACCACTTGCATTCTCCAGTACACAAAACTTATGAGAAGAGATAGAGATAAAAAAGGAAGAGCGAGAATCTAAAAAAAAAGCAATTAAACATTGTAGAAAATAAAGAAGAAAGTAAAAAAAGTATCAATGGATTGTATAAAAGCTGCTGAAAAGAAATTGAGACTAACTTGCAAACGGAAATTAGAAAAGTTGGCTGCAAAAGTAGCAAAAAAAAAAAAAAAAAAGCTTTTCCCTAAAAATTTTTAATCAGGATTGAGTGAGAAAGACAAAATAGTTATGTTTTATATTCCTCCTTTAAGTATATGTTATTTTGTAACTATATTATCTCACATGGCTACTTTTTCTGGTGTTATATAAAGTACTGTTATATAAAGTATTGGACTAAAAGTGAAGATAATTGAAAGCTTATAGTAACAGTTATATATATTATATTATATTATATTATCTCTAAAACTTGTCATTGCCTGAAAATGGGCAGTAATATATAACATAAATATGTATATTAGTCCTTGCCTCGATGAATTCAAGCATGCATTGCCACCAGGGTCGGTTTGACCAACTACTAAGTTTAACACTTAGTGGGTAATTGTGAGCCGTGAACAAGTGCTATGATGTTGATTTTTTAATAATTTTATTATCTGTGTATGAGCTATATACATATTCAATTTCATCAAAAAGAATCACTTCCTTCATGGTGCTTCGATTTTTTTGCAAAAGAGTGTGCGTTGATGTATGCTTTCAAGGGACTAGAGATTTGGTCCATTAAAAAAAAAATATGGGAGGGGAATGTCTGTTTATAGATCTACAACTGTAAAAAAATTTTGCATTTCATAGGTCTGATTTGTGTTGTCCTTTGTTGAAATTTTCAGAACCTTTCTGAATCAGAAATGTTGTTGTGCCTTAAAAGTTAAAAGCAAAAACTGTGACTGAAAATTCTAAAATATGAAGATATAACCATTTTTTTTATAATGTATGAATGAATCTATGCTTAAAATGGTATTAAGGCTTTATAATTTAGGCAAAGTTTTTGACAGTCCTTAGAGTTTAAAAAGCAGAATTGGGGATTAAGGATTATAATTTCTACAGGGGGGGGGAATTGCTGTTTTCATGTTTCATTCTTCCAAACATTCTCAACCGTAGTACATGAGGAGATACACATTTTCTTTTTTCAAATGTACTTTCATGAAGTTTCCGAGGCCCTCACTCCTTTGGCATGTCATCTGATCTAAGCAAAGCAGTTTTGATTTCAGTTTGAATTTACGCTCAAATATATTTTTTTCACTCTGGCTTTGCCAGTGGCATTTACTGCCAGTATACTATGTTCCCGATTAGAGGCATTTTCTGAAATTTTTTATTTATTTTTGGATCTGATAGATAACGAATGTTTAGAAGTGCTCGCTTACTGAAACGAACCTTCAAAATCTCCTGCATACTTAGCACGCGTTGCGAAAAATTAAAAGTTCATTAATTTATGCAGTCATGTTTTAAAAGAAGGTAGACATTAGATTATAAAGAATAGCTTTCTCCAAATTAGGCTCTGTATTTTTATAAGCCTAATAATATGTTATATATTATTATTTATTGGTGTTAAACTATTAAATTATATTTTTGAATGATAATTATTAGTATTTGAAAAAGTGATTTAATGATTAATATAGTATTAATGTTTAATTTTATGCAAAATTGATGTAGATGAATTTTTTAAAATCCATTTATTTCAGGTCATAGATCATTATGAGAACCCACGTAATGTTGGATCACTGGATAAAAATGATAAACATGTTGGAACTGGACTTGTTGGTGCACCTGCATGTGGAGATGTTATGAAGTTGCAGGTATAACTACTTCTCTTTCAGTTTCAATTTTAGCCACAAACAACTTTTTTGATGAGTAGATATAAGGGATATAAGTACATGATTTTCATTCATCAGAAGATCTTATTGTTTTAGTTCAAGTAAAAAATGTGTTTCTTGCTTCTTGAAAAATGTATTTCGGTAAGTGGTCAAAAATTTTTTCAACAAAAATTAGTAGAAGTAGGATAAGGAAGTATAGGTAGAAGCTGCATGTTCTGACTTTCCTGAAGAAATGCCACATAGGGTCGATATTCCTGTCCTCGTCGAATATTTCATAGGCAAAAATGTCCGAAAGGCAGGCTGACGTATTTCTGATGGCCTTGTCATAAAATTTTTAGTCTGTGCAGAAACTCGGAGATGAGCTCTACTTTGAGGTCATTGTGAAGATTTTTATTTCGTACTTAGTATGGGCTGCATTGATAATCCTGAGAATCTTATTCTGTATTATCTGCAGAGACTAGATCTCCTTTTTTCTGTTTTTTTTTTTTTTTCTTGGATTGTCATGTTGGGAGGCATATGTAAGTATACGCCAAATAACAGAAGGGTAAATATGTCCTTTGCGATTTAGCATTGGAAATTATCTTTGAGGACTTGGTATTGTCTCATGGCAACTCCTCAGGCCTTGCTAAGCTCATCTGATGTGCTTTGACCAGGTTTAACGTAACTCCTAGGTAAACAGCCTGGTTGACTTTGGAAACATTATGTCCAAAGAGAGTGATGTTGTTGGTGATTTTATCCTGCATACTGTACTTGCGTATCAGTAGAACTTGTGATTTTTCTTGCTGGATGTATGTTTTCCATTTCGCATACCAGTCCTCAATAATAGGAATCTTCTCTTGTAGTTTGCCCATTGCATGATATAGGCGTCTCAACTTGATAAGAATCGCCATGTCGTCTGCATAACAGGCGAGCAAGGTATTACTGTCTTTTCTGAAATCAGGAAAGTCATTTATATATAGATTATACAAAATTGCCTCAATAACCCTTCCTTGAGGGTTGCCACAGAGGATGTTTCTTGAACCAGAGATGTCATTCCCTTGTCGAACTGAGAATGTACGATTTTGTGGGAATGACTGGAACATAGGTTTAATTTCTATTCGGAAGTCCATCTGGATGAGTTTGTAGATAGGTCTTGTGTGCCAGACATGATCAAAAGCTTTGGCCACATCTAGCATCAAGATTGGCGGTACTCATTTTTTTGTACAAGGCATTACCGATAAATTCTGTGATTCTCACAAGCTGAGTAGTGGTGGAAAGCCCTTTCTGGAAACCATGCTGATTGGAAATATTTACATTGAGATAATCCTTGATACATTCATAAATAATTCTGTCTAAGATTTTAAATCGTATGCCAATTTTTTCTCCTCTTATATATCTATGGTTCAAGTAAATAGAATTACTGCATCAGTTCGTAGGAATATGAGTGCTATTTTTAATAAGTTTGGAAGAAATATATAAAGCTCTGTTTCCACTAGTAGTGCAGTGTGAATGCATAGTATCATTGGAAGAAATGCATTTGCAGACATTAAATTCATTTAATTTATGTTTTTGCTAGCTGTGAAACTTGGACAATATGTCTGTTACTTTTATCGTACTTGGAATGGAATTTGTAATTCGAATTGGTATGTAGAATGGAGGGGAAGAGAAAGAGAGAGGGAGTGTAGGCGGGGCATGTAGGATGCTAGTTTTAGAAAGCATATATATTTATGTATGTAAGATGAGATTATGTAAATCAAAATTATAATTTAAACTAACAGTAACCCTTTAATTCTCCCTCTCTTTTCTAAAAATCGTAATAACTTCTCTGGATTGCATAATTTCTAGATCATTCCATCTTACATGGCCTGTGCAGCGCTGGTGACATAACTCTTGGAAACTGAAACTTTTCTAACCTAAACCAAAACCTTTCTCTTAACAAATTGCCAGATTAGATAAATGTGCAGTTACCTTGCAGCTCTGTTGCTGCTTGGATGATATATTTTTTTGCTTGTGCTTTGTCATACTGCTAACTATACCATTATTAAAAATGTGATACTGTATATAAAATCGTGGTCTGCGTGTTATGACCATGATCTGTGTCCAGCAGTAGATTATGTTTAGTTGGCTACATTGGGCTATCAGTTTCTCCTTCAAGTGTCATCTTTCTAATTATGCAGCAGTCTCTCCAAGTTTTTATCACTCGGACAAATGTATATATATAACCAAGGCTACCATGTATAGGTTTTTGAGTATCAGTTGCAAGTTTTGAATTAGCTTTTAACTAAAATATTTATTTCTTGTGTTCTTTTTGTACTTTATGTACAATTTTAATTTCTTTGCAAGTGCATCGAGAAAAGAAGCAAAGCCATGGAGATTTAATTATCTTTAGATAAATTAATTTGATAAATTTATTAATGAATTCAGCTGTCTGTCTCAATTGCTTACGTTTGACGAAATGCGCCAAGGAAATTAGCTGGAGTTTTACGCTTTTCTCTTGATAAGTCTGTGGGAAACCTCGAATTGGACTGATTAACCACTTTTTGCAATTTTTTGGTATATAATTCTTAGCTTTTATTAAAATTTTTGTTTGCCTGTGTTGTTTAAAAAAAATTATAGATCGTAAAAAAACTTTTTGGCTTTACTTAATCCAGTTTAGTTTTTCAAGTATATATTCTTGTAATTATTACAGTGGGGTTTTTTTCACATTAACTTTTACTGCAATAATCTTGTATTCTAGTTTATACTTGTGTAACTTCTTTAATTTGGAACTGCAGTATCAAATGTGCTTTAATTTAAAGCATTTGCAAAATTTTTTGACTTTCCTATTCTGTGCTAGTATTATATATATATATAGGTAGTGTCTTTCATATATAGGCAGTTCCTGTTATCTTAGTTCTGGAAATAAATTCTTACCAGGAAAATTAAATAAATACAAATAATTTGTTAGATTTAATGGTACTATTCGGTTTCGAGGGCCATAAAAAATCGCCAAACTATAGTTGATGCCAATGCTCCCAAAAATAATTGCGGCAACCCTAACGCAAGAAAGGAAGTTTAATAGTAAATAACTATGTAAGATTGATATTTTAATCTAGATGAAAGGTTAATTTCATATAATACTTTTTTATTATTATAATTTATATGAAAAAGGCTAAACATGACTGAATGGAAGCATAAGAGTAAATAACTATTTCAGATCATTATTATAATTTATATAAAAATTGCTAAACATAACTGAATGGATGCCTGCATCGCTATTTTTGCTACCAACTTATCGCTAAAACATAAGTTCCATCTCGTTGGTTGTTCAAACGTAATTTTCTATAATGAATGATGCATTTTCTTTGAAAATATTCTCGGTAAAGTGCAAAATCGCTCACTTATTTGTTTGTCGCTTTTTACAAGGGTAAAAACAATTGGATTTTTGTCATTTTTCTTTTACTTTTTAAGTGAAAATAGGTGTGTGTACATAAATAAAGCCAAGGGTGTGCGCAGTGCCATTTTTGTGCAATTCCGGGATTTTTTTTAAAGTGAAAATAGGTCGATGTGCACATGGATGCCGAGTATGTGCAATTCTTAAAAACGCGTCGAGCAGTGGGTGATTCTGCACTTTACCCAAAATTCTATTGCCGACTTTTCGTCATGGGCAATTCCCAAATTGTTAAATCCATAGGATATTGAAAAAGGATTTAAAAATTAAACTAGTATTTCAATGGCGTTTTAAGAAATATAGAACTACATAAACTTATGCAATCCTGAAATTAGCGCGTACGCTAGATTTGGCGCGCTGATAAATGGGCGCGTTTGCTAGATTTGGCACTTTTGCGCATACATTTTCGCTGCAATTTTTTATGGTCCTCAAAACGGAATAGTACCGATTTAATTTATATAGTATTATAAATAAATTGCAAAACACAGATATACATCAGATTGGAACATAGAGCTGAGAAAGCTGCAGACAGAGTGGAAAAAGAGTTCAGTATTCGAATTCGCCATTCCAAAAGATTTAGTCATGCTACTACTTTTACCTCCATTCTATTGTTACACAGATACAGTTTATTTAAATGTCTAGTTTTACAAATGTATGTGTACACACATGCATACATACATTCCTGTCCCAATAACAGAAGTCTCATTTTTTTATTTTATTTTTAAATTAAATTTATAGTAAATTAGAGTAAATTTTCTCTCATTGTGGTGTTATTTGAAATGTTTGTAAGAAAGCAGTTGACTTCTCATTACGACAAACCTTTTAAACGTGCGTATTTTTTTAAACTGCAGATTAAAGTTGATGATAATGGGAAAATAACTGATGCAAAGTTTAAGACTTTTGGCTGTGGCTCTGCTATAGCATCCAGTTCTCTTGCTACTGAATGGGTGAAAGGGAAATCTGTAAGTATTAAATATTTAAATTCTTTTTTACTCTCTTCTTTTTATTTTTATTTATTTATTTATTGTGAGTATTATGAATATATTAAACTATTTTTTATAAAATTGGTTTGCTGAAGAAAAAAAGTATATATACCAGGTGCACCCTTAAAGTAACCAGACAAATTAAAATACGAAATGATAAAGTAAAAAAAAAAAAATCGAAGAATAAATGTATGTTTAGAATGTATGATATCTCAACTCTCGTTGAAGCCAGTTTAAATGGGTTATTTTATCATTTACATAACAAATGCAGGAGTCGTTTTATTTACTGAGAAGAAAGACATTGTAAAAAAAATTGCTTCAAGATTGAACAATGTTGTAATTATGAATTTTGTTACTAATTAAGTAAATCTGCTACTAAAAGTTCAGAGATGATTTGAATAATATATGGTGATGCATCATTATGTATCAAGAAGAAAATGTATAAGTGGTACAACTGCTTTAAATGTGAGTGAAGGTGAACAAAATGATAAAGTTTCAAAAACTGAGGAAAATGGACAAAATTCATTCTGTATTAAAAGCTGGTAAACATGTAACAACTCAGCAACTTTCAGGCATACTTTGGATAGCAAGTAGGTTAATTTTAATAGAAAATCTGAAAATGAGAAAAGTTTGTGATTTTTTTTGACAGAACAGCAAAAAGAAGACAGGAAAGTTTGTCATGAAGATTTGCTAACTATTGTAAGACATAGCAATAATAATCGAGAGGAGACCTGGTGTCTCCAATATGACCGAGAAACAAAAAGACAAAGTGCATGGTGAAAGGACTGTCTTCTCTCAAAAAGAAGCATGGATGTAAAAATCAAAGAAAGGTGATGCTGATTGCTTTTTTTCATTATGAAGGACTTAATCATGGTGAATTTGTCTCTGAAAATCAATTAATTGATCAGTATATTTACAAGGAGGTGCTTTTTTGATTAAAAGACAGTCTAAGGCAAGTTAGGAGAGACCTTTTTGATTTTGGGCTATGGTTTCTGCAGATATTAAATCAAGTGTTACTCATGTGAGTAACATTTGTGCTGTTGTTGTGACTTATCTCACTTGTCTAACAGTAACATCAGAACAAGCCCACGAAATTCATCATGGCAAGGAGGGCAAGATTACGCTTGTCGTTGGCTAATTCTTTGTTGTTGTATTCTAACGTCTGTAAACAGTGTTTTGATGACCTTGAGAAATGTTCAAAAAATTATGGAGACTAGCTTGGTGATTATTTTGCAGGTGAAAAAATTTTTGAAGTTTAGTAATCTTTTCCTTATTTACAAGAAATTGTGCAATTACTTTATGGGCACACTTTGTGACATACACTGTATCCACAGAAGTTCACAAATGTTGTTTATACTTCCAATTACAAAAATGTTTTAAATATTCATGTTTTAGCATTCTTAAATATAGAATTATCAGTTTTGTAACAATTATGAAATGTAATATTTTACAAGTTCCTTTAGTCTATATACTTATAAATTTTGTATTTGTAAAAAGCAAAAACAAAAAGTGTGACTCCTGTACAAGAAAAATCGACTGACATATTTGATATTAAAATTGAACATCATATTCAGGGTCCATACACAAAGTAAAAGGCAAAATGCTTGCATTTGTATTTAATAAAAATAAATTATTATTTAGAAAAAAGTTTTTTAAGTTAAGCGTTTTTATGCAGATTATTGTAAAATTATCGATCAATATAACTTTTTCCGAAATGGAGATCTTATTCCCAAAATGTGACAGATTTCATGTTTTAGAAAACACTAGCAGGCTTCAATATTGGATCATTCTCAACTTGTAGTATTATTTGCATTAATTAAAAATAAACTTGTACATTAATGAATTTTTGGTACTATTCTGATTTGAGGACCCTAAAAAAATTGCAGTGAAAATGTATTCGCAAAAGCGCCAAATCTAGCAAATGCACCCATTTAACAGCACGCCAAATCTAGCGTATGCGCTGATTTCAGATTACCTAAGTTTATATAGTTTTGTATTAAGATGCCATTGAAATACTAGTTTAATTTTTATATCCTTTTTTGATATCCTATGGATTTAACAATTAGGGAATTGCACATGACGAAAAGTCTGCAATACAATTTTGGATAAAGTGCAGAATCACTCACTGCTTGACACGTTTTTAAGAATTGCATATACTTGGTATCCATGTACACAACGTTTTCACTTTAAAAAAAAAAAAAAATCCCAGAATTGCACAAAAATGGCACTGCACACACCCTTCCTTAGCTTTATCTATGTACACATCGACCTATTTTCACTTAAAAAGTAAAAAAAAATTGACAAAAATCCAATTGTTTTTACCCTTGTAAAAAGTGGCAAACAAATAAGTGGGCGATTTTGCACTTTACCGAGATTTTTTTCAAAGAAAAGGCATCATTCATTATAGTAAATTATGTTTGAACAACCAACAAGATGAATTCATGCTTTAGCGATAACTCGGTAGCGAAATAGCAATGCAGGCATCTATTCAGTTATATTTAGCCTTTTTTATATAAATTATAATAATAAAAAAGTATTATATGAACTTAAATTTTCATCTAAATTAAAACATCAATCTTGGATAGTTATTTACTATTATACTTCCTTTCTTGCATTAGGGTTGCCACAATTATTTTTGGCAGCACTGGCATCAACAATTGTTTGGCAATTTTTTACGGCTCTCAAAACCGAATAGTACCGAATTTTTTTATGATTATGAGATTATGATTCTAAAGTAATAAAACTTCATGAAAAAATTTAAATCTTTTTAAACTTTGAAAATTTATAAATTACTTGTGTGAAAATTCTTTTGGTCTACCTTTTGACTAAATTTAATGCTTAGCGTGATGTTGAAAGTGTTACATTTTCCCTTAGGCAGTCTTGTCAAAATGTCTTAAATATTTAATTCAAGCTCTTTATTAAAATTCAGTTTGTTTCAATAGTTTTATTCTATTAACCAAATGGGTCAAAATTTTATAGAAAGCATATGTATTTTAATTACATTAAATCAACTAGTTGGTTCTAATTCTTGTTTTACTAAATGAATTATCCAATTATAGCAGCTTGAAAAATTCCTTAGATAAAAATAATACTGAAAGAAAAAAATGCAAGATAACTAGTAATAAAAACAAAGTAAAATAAATGAATGAAATAAAAGCTTTTACGGTATATCCCCTTATGTAATTAATTCCATTTCATTCAAAGCCTTCGCTCTTTCTAGGAATTTATATTTCATTACGATGATTAGTTGATGCTTTGAATTTTGCCATATTTAACATAAAATTTTCTTTAGCTATTAGTTCTAACAGCTTTTGCTCAGTTAAGAGATACAGTTTGAAAGGTATGTTTCTTTCTTTATGTGAAATGCTAAGATGCAAGAATGTTAGAGTTTCTATGTTAGAGTTTTTGTAACGCCTGAAGATTCATTTTCACTGGACTTATGTTCTGGTAGAATAAGAATTTTTGCTAGTTAGTGTAACAGCCACTATATTTAGTCACCAATATTGATTAGCTTAATCACCCAGTCTGTAATATGCAATTTTCAGTATCACCAAAGACTTACATGATGGCCATTTTAATGAGGGAGCCAAATTTCATTTATATTCCACAAGGCCGGCACCAGAGCCAGTAGAGTACAACCAGTGTAGTTGGACAGGGTGGCAAATTTATTATGATAGTATACAGGGCAATATGGCCTTCACCGTGCAAAAGAATGATAACACAATACACATAAAGTTGACATGACAAACCTGAGCCTCAATGTTTATCCCGAACGCCACGTCATACCTGTCACACCAGGAAGTCCCTGTAGTACTGTGCGGTCACTGTTCTGCCATGAGGAACAAAGTGGCAATTAATGACACCTCTGATGTCATACGCGACGATCACCATCAATTTCACTGGGGAAGGATTCTGACAGACCTTCTGCTGCCTTGGTGATCCAGGATGTTGCCACTCCACGGACTGACGTTTCAGTTCTGGTTTGTATGCCCTGGCCCAAAAATTCATCGATGGCGATTATTCGTGACAAGAATTGATCGCCGTCCTGTTGCCAGCGTGCAAAGTGGTCGGAGTATATTGCATAGGGCACCCACCTTTGAACTCCCGTCAGTGCATGTGGTACACACCGAGAAGTGATTTTGTGTAGCTGTAGCTCATTACGCAATATCCTGTGGACAGTGCGTTTCTCGATGCCACTTGCCCTCTCTAATTCCTAACGTCCATCGTCTGTCTTCATCCATGAGGTGCTCGATGACGGCACGTGCCAAGTTGGTCCACACACTGACAGGTCGTCTCGAACGTTACTCATCACTGGTTGACACACGTCCTTGCTGAAACTTTCCTACCCACCGTGCTACTGTATGATATGGTAGGGCGTTATTCTCAAGGCCTTCTACTAATTCACTGTAACGTTCCATCGCATTTCTCCCTCGGAGAACGGCTATTTTGATGTCAGCGCGCTACTCAACACGGGTTACTTTCATCTCGCACGACACTCACCAACTGACTGATTTCAGAACCCTTGCTACCACAGAGCCAGCTATCACAGAGCCATCTGTTGTTCTGCATACACACTATGCCTGCAGAACTTCCACACGACACATATATGTTTTGTGATCTGTTCACATATCTACAAGAAAAAAATAGTTGCCATGACTTTTGCCTCAACCCTCGTAGTCTTATTTTTGCTTTAATCTCCATGTAGATCAATTTTATTATATTTTAATTCTGTTTTCGTTTATATATAACATTAAACTATAGTCATTTGTCTTTTAAGGTTGATGAAGCTCTTAAAATAAAAAATAAGGATATAGCTAAAGAACTTTGCTTACCTCCAGTAAAGCTACATTGTTCAAGTAAGCAATTTTTAACTTTTTCTCTGAAGTATATTAAATTGTTTATTTTCTATGTGTAATTTTTCTTACTTCATATTCCTTAACTGCTTCGAGCCGGGTAGCGAAAACGTGCGCTTATCGCTGAGGCCGGCAGTGTCTTACGCGAGCGTCTCTCCAGGGCCAGGGGCTTTTTTGCTACTAAGTCTAAATCCATGAAATTTCCGAAGTATCAACGCATTGTTTAATAATGCTCTATAGTATTTAAATGGCTTATGCTTTATAAATATTTTTATATATATACTTTAATTACCTTATTTCTTGTTTAAATGCATATTTTACACATTTTATTTTAATTACTCACCATTTTATGACTTTTAACATTATAATCTGAAAACTAAATATATTACTTAAAATTCTCTTTTCGTATGAAAAATTTTAAAACAGGGATCTACACACAGTCCTACATTACATTCCTTGAACTCGTAATAACTCATTTGCCGTTTTGGAGGATTTTTCCGGGAATGTGAACAAACGAACATCGTCGTCTCATTTTCTTATCAGTCTCTTCTTCTGAACAAAAGTTTTGGAAATGTCTTTCAGTTAATCTTTCAGAATCAATATCAGAATATCAGAATCAAATATCTGAAATATTTTGCATCATTTCTGCTATTTCATGCTCTGTTAAACATTTTCGACGCTTCGACATTGCACACGGTAAAAAACAAGAATTCACGTCTAACAAGATCTAATTATTTTCTAAAACTGAACTACAAACCAAAATACCCAACGCTTTAGAGCAATAAAACTTCTCTACTTACAGTAAACAACTACCATGTGCGAATAAAGTGCGATTTAAAGAGACGTCATAAATCACGCCATTCGGAAACATTTTATTTCCCCGTTTGTTTATATAATCAAAAACACGTGTATGTGAGTCATGCGTCTCTCATTTCGAGTAGAAGGTCTAATTTACACATGTATCTGAAACCATATGGACATACAGTGCCATCTTGTGGCAGAAATTATAGTTTTGAAAAACGTTTCCAAAGTACGGCACAAATACGTGACAGTCGGTAGAGAATGGAACTATCCTCTGGCACGCCTGCGTGTCGGCCGGTAGGTAAGTGCGTTCGTTGCTGGCACGTATACGTGACAGTCGGCGCGAAGGGGTTAAATAATGTCTGACATAGTTTAAATCATTAGCATTAAGGATTGATTCTTATAAAATTATGCTTAGGGTATAAATAATGTGAGCCAGATGATCATTGAATTCTTGTTTTGTTTCTGTAATAACTTGTTCATATCTTTGGAATATAAATGAACATTGGTCTTTAACATTTTAATTATTTGCTCATGTTTCTTTATATTAACACTTCAGCATTTATATATTTTTTTGTATTTAATGATAAGAAATTAATTTGCATATACTTATAATAAACTGATGGCCTTTGAAACTGGTATGCAATGAAGAAATTGCATTATAAACTTGGAATTTATATAAAAAGCACTATTGGGATATGCAAATTATTAACATTTCATGGCAAACACGCATTACAGGCAAGAATAATGACACTCAAATCAGCTGAAAAAGGCAGATTGAAATGCCAGTTTTAATTTGAAATTGCTTTTATCAATCAATTTAAATTGCTTTCATGTGCTGTTAGAAGGAACTTTTACGAGTGCATCTCAGAATTTCACATCAGAAAATTCTCGGCCGAGACTGCAAATTATCGTAGTATGCAACTGTTGCTCACATTCATTGAGATATGATAACTGCCGAGACAATTTGCAACTAATGAATCTAGGAGGTTCACTCAGAGTGACTTGCAAGATCTCGATGATACCCATTCATATAACTGTTAGAGATTGTACAGCCATCCACACTTCATGGATCTGGAAATTGGGTATGTAGTATAGATTAAATATCTGCACGCACAGGGCAATTACCTCTGAATGCCTGTGATTACCATTACGTACTTCAACTTGTTTTGATGTTGTTACAATGCACAAATCTTGCTTCTGCTTACAGTATAATAATTATCATAAGGTGGGGGGCATAATAAGGAAAGACCAGTGGGAACAAATAGTGAAGCTTCCATTCTTCATCCTCATAGCCACAGCACCTGGTTTCATATCATTGGATGCCAGTGGTCCACCTAGTGGCTAAATGGATAAAGAGTGCTGAATATTAGTAGTTTGATTTTGGGTTTAAAATCCTAACAAACAGTCTGGCTGCAAGAACATTTTTGTGGTTTCTGTCTGTCATCTGAAACAATTTCCCTTAGCAAATAACTTAATGTACTTTACTAGAATCAAATAATCAGATTTAGTACATTCACCTGTATTCCATATATCCTGAATTTTGATCATATTATTGTTACATTACTGATGCTACATTAATTCTGATTGCCGTGCCATGTTTCCAGGGCATCTGTCACCCCACCCAGGACATAGTGAGATTACAATTTCACATTTTTTGGAGTTACTGGAAGCTTTGGATACATTTTAAAATTCCTTATCGGGACAGAGTGTTACTTCATGAACCGTTTCTGTGTCACTTAGGTTGTGATTACTCACCATATACCAATACGTACTAATTGTATTCACAGTAGCTTTAATAGGAATGATGACTTTACTGTTGTGCACATTTCATCACACACATTAACACATTTGATTTTCGGTTTTGTCAAGAAATCTGAGTTGCACATACATTGTGCATTAAAAATCTGTTTCATAAGGAGATGATTTTGATGCAGATATTTGATAATATTTTCCATCATGCCACCTGAGTAGTTGTCTCATTTTTCTGTACTCTGCCTCTTGTTTCATTTTTTCAAATTTAAGTAAGGTATATTCTTAACATGATCATTAAGATTACATAGTCTTAACATTAATCAACATTATCATTTCAAGAATTTTAACAGCATAATCTTCTTATAAAAATGAAGAAAACAGCGTTTTATTTAAGTAAATTTATTTCAATCAGTCTTTGGAGGGGGAAAAATGGAATTCAAAAAATTGAAAATATGGGAAACAGGTTCAGTTAGAGAATGTTGTGCCTAGTACTTCGAAGGCTAAGCATATGGTGGATGTGTAAGACAAGGTTGGTTCAGGGAAGCAACAAATCTGGGTGTGAGAGCAGCAAACAAGACATCATAAAAGGGGGGATTTGGTACATACCGAATAGATTTTGATTTGATAAAATCTTCCACAATGTTTCCAACCAGAGTAGTTTATTTCAGAGCTTAGTCTTTTAGAGTGGGCAGATTAAGGTCCATACAATCCAAGAATGATTATTTCAAATTTTAAAGGTGGATTCTAAATAAAACATATAATTTGTTGGCTGTAAAAACTTGATAGGAAAGCATAAATTTTCTTTCTGTACCTTTAATTCAAATATCTGTCAGTTTATGTACTTGTTTTAGTTTTTGCAGTGTAGCTTTTGATGTAAATTATAATACCTAAGTTGATTTTAGTATGCAAGGCTAAAAGTCATGAACATCTAAAGAAAAATATTCTACGTTGTCTGTTGAAGTTTCACATTCTGCAGTGCAAGTGACATCTGTGTTTTCATTAAAAATAACTTTTAATTCAGAGAATTTGTATACTGTACATTCACCATTCTCAAAAAGGAGTGATGTCACAGTTGTTTTGTCTTTTGAAAGAATCATTTTAGTTTTTTTCTTCATCAAGAGCATTGAAGAGATCTCAGTAGTACAGCAAGCAGAAGATAAAAAGTGATGTTTGATATTCATTTAGTGAAAATAAGGGTACCATGGATATGCAAGTGTCACTTTTCTTGACAACAAATTTGTATTTAACTCGCTCAAAGAATGACAGTAATTCTAATATATATTTATTTCTGTTGAAAAATTTTAGAATTTAGAGAAATACCAATCAACAAAATTTTTTAGACTTCATGTGACCCACCGAGCAGCAGAATTTGAAAGTGTTAAAATTTTTAAAAAATTAGGGAAATTCTCAGTATGTCTCAGTCCCTGTATATATTGTATGTACATTGTACTACAATCCCTGAATATTATTATGTATGAGGGTAAGGTGAAAAGTTCTCCACCTGACCTAGAGGTGGCACTCCAGTCAGCAAAAGCTTGTGTTTCCTGCCTGGGTGGAGGTGTCATTAGTTCATATGACAAGTTTCAACTTGTTCTCTCAAGTAGTTTGTTTACACAAATTTTCGCAGTAGACATCTTGTGTGTTATTCGTTAAAATGGATAAACTCGAATGTCGTGCGGTCATAAAATTCTTCATTTTGGATGGATTAAGCCCTGAGGAAATTCATCCAAAGTTTACGGGGATCCTGCTTCGTCCATGTCAACCGTTAAAAAGTGTGCAGCTGAATTTAAATGTGATCTCTCATCCCTCGAAGATGACCCACGGGAAGGATGGCCAAAAAACACAACCACACTGGAAACCATCAAAGAAATGCATGATATCATGTTAGATAGGCAAGTGAAGGTGTGCGATATAACTGAAGCTGTGAGGATATCGGAAGAAAGGGTGCGAAACATCTTGCATTAAGAATAAGGAATGCAAAAGCTCTGTGCAAGATGGGTGCCACATTTGCTGAATGCTGATCGAAAGCAAATGCGCAAATGATTTTCACAGTAATCTTTGGACCAATTCAACAGGGATCCTACCGATTTTGTGGGGTGATTTGTCATGATGGATGAGACTTGGGTCCATCACTACATGCCAGAAATGAAACAGTGCAGGCTGTGGGTGGAAGCTGGTGGTTTGGCGCCAAAGAGAGCGAAGTTAATCGTGTCTGCTGGAAAGGTCATGGCCAGTATGTTTTGGGATGCGAAAAAGATACTATTAATTGATTACCTTGCAAAAGGGAGAACAATTACAGGCGAATATTACTCCAACATTCTTGACCAGCTGGATGCCAAAATTCACGAGAAGAGGCCTGGCTTAAAGAAGAAAAAAAACCATCTTTCACAAGGACAACGTTTGGAAAACTGTGGGATTTGAAATATGATTTGCTCAGCCATCTCCTTTATTTTCCTGATTTGGCACCCTCAGACCTCCATCTGTTTCCAAACTTGAACAAATTTGTTTCTGGGAAGCATCCAATGAAGAAGCTGAGAGGGTCGTAGATGAATATTTTCACAACCTTCCAGACTCTCACTTTCGGAAAAGAATACTGATGTTGGAGAAACGCTGGACCAAGTGCATTGAAGTCAATGGAGGTTATGTAGAAAAGTAAAGCCATATTTTAACCAGAAGTTGCAGTCTTTCATTGTCAGGCCAAAAAACTTTTCACCTTACCCTCACATATTACATAATTTTAATGTTTAAGAATTTTTTTTCCTTTGCATTTATGTTTAAATTTATATTTATTTTTAATGTATATGAAATTTTGATAGGTTATCTTTTTTTCTTTTTAGTGCTTGCTGAAGATGCTATTAAAGCAGCTCTGAAGGATTATAAGCTAAAGCAAACAAACAACAATTCATAAAATGCAGTCTCATCAAAATTTTATTTGTAAATTTTGTATAGTGAATTAAATTTAAATATTGTATAGTGCTTTAAAATTCTTTAAAAATGTTCTGCAATTTAAAGACTTGATTCAATAAATGTGAGGAAAGCATAATAGTTATATCTGTATCTTAGATACTTTACACAGCAAGATACTTACACAGATAGCCCACCTTTTCTAATTTAAATTGGTACTTTTCCGTTTCGCCGGCGCAAATCTCGCCAAGCAAACTTTATTGGCGACAACATACAGTATACACATAAAAAATGTTAGTTCTAAGAATTCTTTTAAAAAAAGAAGGCATAAACATTTTAATATCGCTTAAAATTTTATAAAAAGCCAATAAATAAAGACAATAAATTTGTAAAAAGACATTAATCTAAGAATTTACTATGCTTTCATGGTTTAACATCCTGATTCGCCGGTTCATATCACGTGACCCCAAGTGATCTCATCTCACGTAAATTACTCTACAAAAATCTAATGCTGTCAAATAATTATCTACATTAATTTCAAGTTAAATCTTAATTTGGAACACAAGTTTAAATGCAAGAAATATTAAATTCGTACGAATAGCTTACTCAGAATTTGTAAAACTGTAGTGCTTTACTTCGCTAATGCTTCTCATTAGAATGGATGAATTTAACACTTGATTTTTCTTTTTCTATATTTTCGGCTTCAGGTAAGCGCTGTGATTGCATCCTAATTGACTTAATTACCGAAAATGGCCTTAGACATATAACTGAACTATCTGATAAAAATTATATGTAATTATATGCCAGTATTGAAAGAAACAATCAATCTGATAAGAAAAAGCTGCGACTTGTTTTGAAAATGAGGCGTAAAAGGTTACCAGCGAGAATATTCCGTTTGGCATTGGTTGTACCATTATTGGCGACTTTATCGCTTGCGCCGGCAAAACGGAAAAGTACCTTTAAATTTTATCTGTTGATTTTATATATATATATAGAATGTCGTATGATCTTAAATTCACTTAGTGCAAAATCAAGTTATTCTACTACTTGCGCAATAGCTGCAAAGTAAGTTAATAATAATTTATTTACTAAAGAAATATTGATTATATTATCTCCTTAGTAGAATTATCTAAAAAGAGTGAATCCATAGCGTAGTGTAATTCCAAAATTGTTTTAAAAAGCAACTTGAATGTAAATGTTAAAATTTATGTTTTTCGAATTAATCATGAATAAATTTTCAATTTTTTCAACAAATCGGAATTAGTTTTTTAACAATAATAATAAATACTGAAGGTTTTGTTCCTTTACTCAAGTAATAAGGCAATAAACGGCAATTAGGGCCAATATTTCCGTGAATTGAAGGGAACCATGCAGTGCACCAAAGAACTCATTCTGATTAAGCATTTTCGCTAATTCAATTTTGAGTGAAAATCAATTTATGCAGTAAAATTGATAAAATATGCAGCGAGCCAAAGCACTTTCATGTGGTTTGGTGGAAGGGCAGAGGGGTGGGAGACCCGTGAACCCATCCCCTCGGGGTGCTGTCCATCAAAATTGGGGACGGAACTGAGCTAAATTGCATTATCACATGAATGGTGCTCAAGGCTGTTGCCAAAAGCAGGCGTAATCTAGCACTCCTTGCCATGAGGAACTTTGTGGGCTTGGGCTGAATTTGTCAGACAAGTCAGCATAAGCAACACCACCACCAACAACAAAATATGTTTACACTTTTGCATTCTTGATGTTTTGAATGGAATAAATAATCCATGGTGATCGGACTGAGAAGGGCGGGTTGGTCCTTACGTCAAATCGCAGCTGATACCCACATAGATGCGAGCATGGTGCATCGTCTATGACGAACATGGTTGAAACAAGGAAATGTGGGAAGAAGGAGGGGTGCAGGTGCAGCCAGAGACGTCAGCACGCATGGTCACGCATCCGCCGACATCTGTGACGGTCCCACAATCACTTGTACCGCTATTCGCAGCATGTGCAAGATACCCCGAATGTTCCCGTGTCGCCAGAACCATTTCCCGTCGATTGGTTTAACGTGGCCTTCACCACGGCGTCCGTTAAGAAGACGCCATTGACCCACGAATAGAGGCAATGTTTTAGAATGGTGCTGGACTGGAGGAATGAGATGACAGAATGGTGGAACGTCGTATTCTCAGATGAGTCACGCTTCTGTTTATCCAGTGACAGTCGCCGCATATGTGTGTGGCATCGACGTAGACACAGATCTAATCCGACAGAAACTGTGGAACGCCCCACCATGCGGCAACGTGGCATAATGGTTTGGGGCGCTATTGCCTACTTTCGGGGGCTACCTAATGCAATTTTCCAGCAGGATAACGCCCGACCACACAGTGCTCGCATCTGCCAACATCTTCTGCAAGGTATACAGATGCTTTCCTGGCCACCGTACTCTCCTGACCTGTCACCAATCAAATGTGTGGGATGTGATTGGATGCCGTTTGCAGACTCTGCCCCTGCCTCATTCAGAAGACGAACTGTGGAAAATGGTTGAAAGGGAATGGAGAGCTATCCCTCTGGACACCATCTGCACTCTTATTGACTCTATGCCTAGACGTGTTTCTTTGTGCGTCGCTGTCTGCCGTTGTCCTTTCGCTCTGTATTCTGACAATCATTTTGAAATAAAGATCACTTATTGCTGCTTGTTGTCTCTTTTTTCCAAATTTCATCACTTTCCGACCATTCCTTCTTGGTGTTGCATTTTCAATGTCGAGCAGTGTAAGTGAAGATACTGTCAACTAGATTTTTCATAAAAAGAGAAATTTTTTATTTTAATTCAGAATTTTCTAATGCGCATTGAAAAGAGGAAAGTTGAAATGAGTTGTTTGAAAATAAATGTTGAAATAGTTAGTGTTCAAGTGACAAAAATTGCATTATCAAAATAGCAAAATCATTCATTAAAGGTGATCTCGTACTGCCATTGATTTTATGCCAAAGTTTATTAAGTGTATTTATATAGGATATTTATAAATAGATGGCATTTCTAGAATTTTGCAATTTTTCGTGTTTTCATGTATTATGAAAGCACTGCAGTAAAAATTCTTAATTTTTTTCATAATTTGCTAAATGTGATAAATTTTGAGAAATAAGATCTGTCCAAGAAGAGCTAACCAACTATAAAAGGTTGATATCTAAGCATGAATTAAAATATAAAACAAATTGCTGCAAAATAATCCTTGCACAAATTCATATAATAAAAAAGGGCAATCTAAGAGAAAGCTCAAAGTGGGCACTAGAATGGTATAATATATGACTGAAACTCCAAGTGATATGGGGCATGCCAAAAAATATAATAATTAGTGGGCAGTGAAATTATATGGTTATTTGGCAATAGTCAGGTCTATACTCCTATCTTTCCATGAACTTATTTTTATGCACAGCCAACAATAAAACAAATTATGTTAACACCTGCAGATGTTAGCCAGTGTTAACATAATTTACTTAGTTGTTGCTTGATATTCTTAGAAACTGGTCAACAAAAACCAAGTGTTGAGTTTGATATTAAAAGCTATTAATTATGTGTGTATATTGAACCCAATTTTGTTATTATGTAGGAGGAGAGAACTGGTACTTTAATTGATGCATTATTGTATGTTATCATTAAAAGTGCACTTCAAATTGGAAGCCTATGATTGTAAGAAGCATTAAAATTTATTACTGAAAAATTTGCCGATAAATGAAAAGTTCATTAAAAAACTTTTAAAATCACAGCAAATTTTATATTGGCAGTTTGTTTTTTAAATACTTAAGATTTAATAAAAACTCTATACCAGGAAATTATTTTATGTTTCACCTTGAATAAACAGCAGTGAACATCAACCTGTTGTGATAGTCAGAAATGATATCTGCATACAATTAAGAATAACAGATTCGCACATAAAGCCAGAACCGGCACCAGAGCTCGCATGGCCGCAACAGACGGCGGAATTTAGGGAAGAAGAGGAGATACCCAAAGTTTTTTATTGCAATAACAATGCCCCAAACATCAATCAATTAAAGGACGGTGAAATCTGTAGTATAGATCTAGATCTAGAAAATACCACTACCCATAATGAAGAAAGTGACACAGAGTTTACTGAAAAAAGAAAAAAATTGGATTGACAGGTTCGGAATTCTCTACACAGCAATTACAGGACTTTAACACTGAAACTTAGTAACTGAACAAGAAATTATATGTCCATAAAATGAAAAAGTACAAAAAATAAAGCAACATGAACAACTTACATTAAAAGTAAATGTTTATTAAAGTTTTGTTGTTGTTGTAAATTTTGAGACTCATTAGATCATAAATGGTTCATAATTTCATAAATCACAATTTCATATTTTTAATTTTATAATTTCTACATGCCATTCCGAGGCTATAAACTTATCAGAACTGAAATGCTGTTGAGCATCAAGTTGTAAGAAATAGAGAATTTTATAATTATTTACCTACAAACATGCGTTTTTATTTAGAAAAATTAAATGAATAAAAGAAGAGACTAATTATTAATTATTCTTGTAATTTATCTAACTTGGTAAATTTTATCTTAAAATTTGGAAAGCTTTCAAGATTTGCTTATTTTTAGTTTAAATTGAAGTAAGTTATTCAATGATTAATTAAGCAGGTTAGAAATATTTGAAAGAAATGCCAGTTTAAGAATTTAATGTTTAACTGTAAGTGTATTTGAATTACAAAGTGAAACCAACAAAAATGACCTGTGGATATCAAACTTCAGATTTCAAATGGAAAATAAATATAAATTTGACTTTTTTCCTTTGCAGTGTTATTATTATTGTTCATGTACTATATATTAATACATATATAATAAGCGAATTGAACACGGCGTTTTGCATCCTTTTACTTTCTGCTTTGGCTCACTTTTTAAACAATTGTCACCAAATCTTATCGCCATGTATTATATATATCGAAACTTAATAATGAAGAATCTGCATGAATGTTTCTCGCATTGAAAAACAACGATACCTAGAGCCATCGATTTTTTATAACGTAGACCTCCAACCGAACATTGGTATTTGGAAGCCCGAATATCTATTTCAAATTTTGTAAAACTTTAACGAAATTTTGATTAACAAACTCAACGATTTCAAAGCGAGCAATGGCAC